TCACAATATGTGAAGGCTTTAAACATTTTTATCTTATTTTTAATATTGTACTTTATACATATATTATTATTTCTCTTTCTTTCTTTTCTTACAGATCCTTTGTATATACACTATGGCCTCCAGTTTAGTGTTTTTATGACCCCTGAGTGCGCAAAAGAATGGGTGTTTGTCTATATATATATATCTGTTCCTTGTGCCTTTTCTTGGCCTATTTTCCTTCTGTTTGTTTGCTCTGTCCCATTCCAATGTGTTAGCTTGTGTTTTATTGTTTTATATATTATTTTACTCTTATCCCTTAGAAGCCTGTTTGTTTTCTAATGAGAGACAGAAAGACAGTGTATCCGTATGGGAGTGGAGGTGGGGAGGATTAGAGGGAAGGAAATTATGGTCAGACTATACTGTGTCAAAATAAGATTCAATAAAAAAAGAATTGCAACACATGATCACAATCTGCTGGGAAATGACATAAAACAATATACCTTTTGTAGATCAATGTTTCAGATGTGAATGTCAAGGTAGCTATAAACAGTGCTTAAGTTCCTACAGCCTTCAAGGAAGTATTGCTCCTTTCCCAGTTTCAAAGCTACAATTTCCTGGGTCTCTCTCTCATACACACTTGGTTTATAGTGAAAATGTCCTTACCGTCTTATGCACCTCTTATTACTTATTGTATCCAAAGTCATCACCAAGGAACCACCCTATGATCTCATTGAGTAAAAAACAAGGAGAGGGCAGGGAAGCCCTTAAAGCTTTTTGAGCAATGGGGACTTCAGCAGCCACTCAAACCATAGGCATGGCTATTGTTAAGATATTTAAGCAGTCTCCCTCTTGAGAAGCCCACACTCAAACCGAGGTGCACACTAACCTCTCAAATACATCTTCTGTTGATGACTGTGCTGAAGTCTATGTTAAACCCTTTGTAATGCGTTGATTTTAGTTATGTGCACTGTGTGCTGGTGCCCTCAGAGGACAAGGGCTTTGGATCTCTGCGGATTTGGAGTTCCAGGGGGTTGGGAGCCACCCAGTCTGGCTGCTGAGAATGAAAGAAAAGCAAGTGCTCTTCACCACTGAGCCATTTCTCCAGCCCCGGGGGAACTTTATCTATGGGTTTTACAGACATTCTAGAGTCTAAGTCATGGTAGGAGGAGTTAGGCGTTCAGGCCCCAAACTTGCATCATTTAAAATGCAGCCGGGAGATTGCTAAGATGGCTCCACAGGTAAAGGAGCTTACTGCCAAGCCTGACAGCCTGGGTTTGACCCCTGGGTCCCTCATAATAGGGAGAATTGATTGATCTGACCTCCACACAACACACACACACACACACACACACACACACACACACACACAGTTTTTACAATTGTGTAGGGAGGAGCACAGACAAAGTAATTGAAACTCTGTACGTCTCACTCAAATTCATATCGTACATTATAAAGTTGTAGTTGAAGTATCAGAAAATACCATCTTTCCTAACTTTAAATAAAAATGTTTCCACACATAGTATATCACCAGGTAGTGTAAGTCTGACTGGGATAGGTTAAATTGTGATGCGTCTGTTGAACAAGTGAAGAAAGTAGACCTTTTTCTTATAACCTTTGTGGACTCCTGGTAACTGTAAAAGTGAGACATACGATTAACCTAGTAGAAGTGCCAGCACTATTCTATGAACCGCTGCATGAGCCATTTGAAAATGAGCCAGCATATAAGGAGGGGATGTGCACAGCAGGTCACAAGGAAACAGGACTTCTTTGGAGCACACACTTCCTGCTGGAACACCGTCCTTCTCTCCTGGGTCCCCTAGCATAGCAGGAATCACACAAGATTGCACTAGTGTAGCCCGCGTGGTCGTCTCGCCAGCAAGAATGCACATGGACACCAGGATTCTTCTGCAGCAAGCGTTTATTCAGCAGTAATGAGAGGAAGACCTAGAGCCCCAAAATGGCACTCCTTTTATACCCTAAATGGTGACGTGTTGGTTCCTGATTGGATGCAGCCCATCAGGCCATCTTACATCACTAAGTGAGCCAATCTTTGGCTCGAATTCAGCTTTAGCGCATGCACATAGGCAGTTGTTTACGATCTCACACACCGGATGCCGGCGCCATCTTGTAATGGCGTTTGCTTCAGGCTCTTTACACACTAGCTCACTACTTCACTGTATTCTGTCTCAGTGCCCGGTAAATGAGGGCAGGGACCACATCTGCGTTGTTGAGTGAGCCCTGTGCATCTCATGACCTCCCAAGGAATAGTTGTTGATTAAATAAGCGTTCACCGAACAAACGAGTCTCAGAGCCCCACCTTCCTCAGAGCTACTTCAGCGTCTTCTCCACCAAAGCATTTCTGGCTCTGGGTGTGTATCCTTAGCTCAATCAAGGTGATTGTAAACTGTGTGGCAGTTCCAGGCTTCATAGTCCATGGCTAACTTCTTATTCCTTACACTATGAAGGAGAGACATCCTCTGTCACTGCACCCTACTCAGAAATGAGAGCATTAACAGCTGCCCAGGCTGAAGAGATGCCCTAGTGATTAAAATGCTTGCTTTGCAAGCCTGTTGTCCTGAGTTTGAGCCCCATAACCCATGCAAAGGCTGAAAGAAGAAACTAACTCCGCAAAGCTGTCCTCTGACCTTTACATATGAGTTATGGCACATGTGCCAATGTCCTCTCTCAGTCTCTGTCTCTCTCTCACACACACACACACAAATATTAATACATAAAAACTTAAAAAGCAGTTGGAATGATCATCTTATAGGAACACGGGGTTTCCCCAGGGCTTCGATGACTGTGCCTCTACTCTGTCTTGAGTTTGTTGTAAAATGTGTTTTGTCCTTTTACAGTTATTATTATGAGCACGTCTGAGATGTGTGCAGGGATGCATGCCATAGCACAAAGCTTGATGGTCTAGGTTTGGTCCCAGAGACCTACATGGCGGGAGGAGAGAACCGACTCCAAGAAGTTGATTTTTGATTGCCATGCAGTAGTACCAAGTGGTCAGCTTTGAACTCACATACAGAAAAGCTACGTTATATGAACTGAACAGGTTGTATTTATGTATTTAGAAACACACACACAAATGCACACACACACACAAGAATAACAATTAAAGAAAAAGAGATCAAGAATTTGAAAGAGAACAACGGAGCAGTTGCATGAGCAGGGCTGTAGGGAGGAAAGGGAAAGAAGAAAAACAATGTAAATATATTTTAATTTCAGAAATAAATGAAAAACCTTTTAATATTTATTTTTACACTGAAAATATAATTTCCTTAATGCCATTAAGATAATCATTTGGTTTATCCAGCAAAATATAAAAATAGTTGCAAAATAATAGCAATATTCTTTTTGCTTGTTTTGGTTTTGGTTTTTCATGACAGGCTTTCTCTGTGTAGCCCTGGATGTCCTGGAACTTGCTTTGTAGACCAGGCTAGGCTCCAACTCAGAGATCCACCTGCCTCTGCCTCCTGCGTGCTGGGACTAAAGGTGTGTGCCGCCACTGCCTAGCAGCAATGTTATTTCTAATAAGAAGATTACTGTTTAAAGTGCCATTTTCAGTTGTATTTCCTCTATTTTTAAAGATTAAAAATGTGTGTGTGTGTGTGTGTGTGTGTGTGTGTGTACATGATTTCAGGTGCCAATGGTAGCTGGAAGACAGTGTCAGATCCCTGGAACTGTAGTTACAGTTGTGAGATGCCTGATGTGAGTTCTGAGAACTAAATTCTGATCCTCTGAAAGAGGACTCAGTGCTCTTTGGCAGCGAGCCATCTCTCTAGTCCCAACTTCTACTTATTCTGAGGAAAAAAGAAAAAAACTTCCTTCATTGGAGGAAGTATTGTCAAGATATCATTCTTTTTTTTTAAAGTACTTTTTTAAATTGATTTCATTGAAAACCAAACAAGAAATGGCCTGAGCCAAAAGACTGCTCTTAAAACTGTCAAAAACATTTTAACAGAAAAAAAAATAAACATGACTGCATTATGAATGTTTTAGAAGAGTTACACACACACACACACACACACACACACAGACACACACACACACAAAACAAGAACAAAAACAAAAAACAAAAACAAACAAACAAACCCGCCCCACTGTCGTTTCATTAATTACAGTATTTAGAAAGGTATATACCCAAAAAAAGTACACGACCTGCCAGGACATCACACAAAAGGTGATGGCAAATTTATTCAACTACAAGACTAACATTTAAAAAAAGTTTTTCCTGCATTTTACTCTAAAATCATTTTGTTCTTTTTTTTTACAGTTGATAGTTTCTTTTCATGTGATGAGTAGAAACCACATCAGATTCAGCACCATTGTCTGTGATTTGTTTTTTTATTCTTTGTTTTTCCTAATGTTCAGTAATGATAGAAAACAAACAGGTTTATTCATCATCTCATAGTATGTGGCTTAGAAATCAACGAAAGGTGCTTGCATCAACAGAACTAGCTGGGGTTGGTACAGAGTCTGCGTGCACACACCAGCCTGCTTCCTAACAAAGAAACACCAGTGAGAGGCTTGATAGATAGGGCGAGATATAGTATTTCTTTAAAAAGCAAACCCACATTGCATCAAAAAGAGTGGTGGGTCAGCCAAACTCTCCAAGGCTGTCAGGGAGCTAGTGTCCTCCAGGGAGCTGGGACCAGAAACACAGGCTGTGGGCAGCATCTAACGGAGCAGCTTGTAGGTGATGGTGGCCTTGGTGAGTGCCTTATAGGAACCTGACCAGACAGTATACAAATAAAACTGGCATGAAGCAAGGGCCTCAGAGACCAGAGGGAGAAATGGGAAGCGCTGCAACGACAGAGCCACCACCAGGAACTCACAAGTTATGCAAGATGGAGTCCCGGGTCTCTGAGGTGCAGGACCAGATGCATGCTCCGGCTTGAACACTGGGCGGGTGGAAATGAACGCCCCAGGCCCAGAACATTCTTGGGAGGTGTCCACACCTCCAGCTCCTCTTGGACATCATGTGCAGAATTCCCTCCTCTCTAAATTGCAGTCACCAGGATCTGATTCTGAGAATCCAGCTGGCCCCACCAGTTGGCAATTCATAGGGGTCAGCAGCAGCTGCAGAGCTGGTATCTGGAAGGCCATTCTCCGGAGCCTCCTGAGTCGCACTGGCTTGCCGCTGAGCCAGAGCTGCGCTGGAGTGCTGAACATTGGGAGACCCACACCGGTGACTGAAAAACTTGCCCTTGACATCCCAAAAGCGTTCCCCGGTAGTCGAACCACAGCTGCTCCCCAGCCTGGATCAGGTGAGTACTGAAGAAGGCGATTCCAGGAAACCGTAGGTCCTGGTGTGACGAACACGTGCACAGGCACAAGGTTGGGTTCGCAGTGGTGGTTTATGAACCGGCAGACATTCCCATAAACAGAGCATCAATGCAGTATACCTCTCCATCCTCATTATCAAGATCAAAGAGGTGAGAGTCCTCTTCCCGAACATCAGCTTCAGAGTCCGAAATCAGCTCCCCTACATATGCACAGACAAAGGTGCCCAGTGGGATATCCTGGAGGGAACGCACACCCCAGCCCATGTCCTGCATCCAATAAAGCTGCAGCCTTGCCCTGAGTCCATTTTGCACCACACAATTGCGGCAGTTCCTCCAGCATGAGCAGGCATGATTGCACTAGAAGATCAAGGGTGGTTCTGCCATGTTAAACTCAGGCAGAAGTCGGCCATACTTATTATACGAGCAGTGCATGCTGAGCTGGCCACACATGCAGGTGCTGGAAGAGCAGTCATCTACGAATACAGTACTACAAATGAGTGATGTTCCTGTCAATGTTCATGGGGGAAGTCACACAGTTCTGGGAGACATACTTATAGTTGGTGGGACACAACTCACTATCCACAGCATTGACACAGGGAATGGGAATGCGCTCAGACCCTCAAGCAATGTCCCTGCTCACTGTCTTCTCAACAGCAGCAGGCTTGTCAGGGGCTGAGTCCCGAAGCGCTTTGCTCATCTGCAGTGCACTCCACACCTGGGAATTGAGGCTTGCACACTGCAAGGGAGACTCTCCTTCCTTGTTTTTTAGAGTAACATCTGATCCCGAGAAAGAAAGAGGACAACACAGTCGTAGCGATTCTCCCTGGCTGTGATGTGCAGGGGTGAGTCTCCATGGATATACATGGGTGACCTCCATGGCATGCAGGTCACACTTAGCAGCCAGAAGTATTTCAGCTATGTCCACACAGCCTGAAAATGCTGCCCAGTGCAGACAAATGTTCTCCTCATTGTCCCGGATATTGATGTCAGAACCTCCAGACAGCAGCAGCCTCACCAGGTCCACGTGCTTGTACTCAGTGGCCCAGATCATAGGTGTCCAACCACCATCATCCTGGCAGTTGACATGCATCTGTCCATTTGAAAGCTGAACCACATCACAGTGGCCTTTCTTGGCAGCCAAGTGCAAACAGGTGGAGCCCTCTGCGTCCTTCGGATCCACCTGAGCTCCAGCCCTCTGTTTTCTGCAGCCTCCCTTAGTGGGGTCCGCTGATCTTCTGAGCAAGTGTCAATGTTGGCACCCACTTGAACCAGCACTTGGCAGATGTTCACGTGGTCAGCTTCTGCAGCAGCATGCAGTGGGGAACACTTACTCTGGTGCTCCATTTTGAAGTTGGGATCAACTCCATCACCCAGCATGAGAAGAACCTTCTGCAGCTCATCCTGCCTACCTGAAAAGTACAGCTGCTTCGGGTGGAAGCAAAGTTTCTTGGATTTTTCAGAGTCCAGAGTGATTAGAGCACTTTCCAAGGTTTCCCTTCCTGGGCCCCGAGAAAGGCTAGAAGTTGGCCTCACGAACCCCGCTGGCCCTGCGGGATTGAAGCACTCTGGTGCCTGGGGGACTGTGCTCTGTGGCTTTTCATCCTCTGGGGCTCCAGCAATGCTGCCTGTGGTCGTGTCCTCCCTGCCCTAAGCAGCCAAACTCTTCTCCTGTCCAGGGGCCAGGGTCACTGTGGAAGTTGCCTCTGCTTTGGACTTGGAAGTCTCTTCCCCACAATGAGGAGAGTAGCTGGCATTGTTGACTCCAGACGCACAGTCCTTATGGAAACAATGACAAGATGCTGCTCTCAGGCTGACATTCCATATAGTTACCCACAGTGCAGAAGTAGCCGCAGCCAGGACAGCATTGGTGCTTCACCATACGACCCCGATGGTCTTCACACAGCACCAAGAGTGGTGCTTTGTGGGATGGGGGCATCAGCTCTTACTTGACCATGCTGTTTGTACACTGGCCCAATTCGCGATCCACGCTCTCAGTGGCCATGCACTGGTTGTTGGCCAGGGTGCTGATCTCAAGGCTCTTGGGGGTTTCCATTGGGCAGCTGCACAGAGGCACTTCCTGGAGGCCAGCCATCTCCAGCACATCCGGACCTTTGGCCAGCCCTTCATTTTCTGTCTGGGAAGACAGAATTCCTCTGACACGGAGATCCAGGGAATCCAGAGAAACTTCCATATACCCAGCGCTGTCTGCCAGAGCTGCCTGCTCTGTGCTTCCTGGAGGTGACTTACAAGCCTCGGAACCAAGCATGCTGCTTGCCTTCTTTCTACTTCTCCACCTCCTTTTCTGAGCAGGCTTGATCCAGGGGCTGTCAGTCTTCTCTCTCCTCTTGAGAAATTTCTTCTTGATACTGTATTCAGAACTCAGGTCATACTCGTCGCCAGTCTTCATCCTCCCCTGTGTCAGGTAACTCCTGCTCCTCTTCTGAATCTACATCCATCTTCAGAGCAGGGTCAGTCTCGGACATGCTCTCTTTAGAAGTCCTGCTGTCCTCAGTGGAAAATGCAGCAGTCTGCTCAGCCCATAGTCATCATCCTCCAGGTCATCTGAGTCTTCATCTTCTGAGTTTATCTCCAAGCTCTCCCCATTGACATGCAGGCACTGTCATCTAAGGCTTTCTCAACCTTGGCGCCCACATTGGAATGAGTTATGCTCTTAAACATCTCAATCACTGTCCTCTGCTGTAATACTTCGGTCTTTTTCTTGGGAACTAAGCTATAGGTTCCCATTCTTTGTTTTTTCTTCCGAGATACTGCAGCTGCTAAAACAAAAGGCAAGCAAGCTGTCTGGGACTTTGTGGTGGCCATGTAGCCTTGGTTCTGAAGTAGTGACTGGTGGAGGGCTGGGAAGGTTGGTAAAAGCTGCTGTCGTCCACACTCAGAAATGTTTCTGTTCATATCCTCTTTTGGTTCCTTATGGTCTTGCACTTCTCTGTGGTCTTTGTTAGCTGCGTGCAGGCCCAGGATGGACTTCGGCATGCTCTTGCGTGCCTGTAAACCCTGACATCAGTGCCTGAGGCTGTGGGCTTTTTGTCCTCTGTGTCTGCACTCCCTTCCCCAGGCACAGGAGGTGCTGTGGTTGGTATCTGAGGAAGTGTACTTGGAGTCCTCATTTACTGGCTCCTCCAGGAAGAGTTTTTGAGGCATGACCAGGAAGCAAGGAGGCTAGCGTGTTGGGAGTCCTCAAAGGCTGCCCCTGCAGGGCTGCTTTATTTAAGAAATATCCATTGCTGCCAATGAGAGAAGTCTGTATGAAGTCGTCAGCTGTGACATGGTTTTGCTTCCCCACTTCTGTGTCTCTTTCTGAAACTCCATTTTCCGCCACCCAGAAAGGTACCACCCTGTTGGTACCTTCCTGTGGGCTAGCTCTGGTGTTCTCCTGAGTGTGTTTGGGTACATTTGGATGGCTGGGATCACCACTCTTTTCACAAGACCCATTTGTTTCTCCATCTGCAGCCATAGGAGTCTCTCCTGCCTGTTTCTCTGTGGAACCTTCATTAGCAGCCATGGGTGTCTCTTCCCTTAGCAGATCAGATTTCATGCAGTAATCCTGCTTGGTCTCTTGCTTGGCCAGAATTGCCTGCGCTTTGCTTCCTGGATGCCATGGAATGAGCAAGTACAGGCATGCAATGTCCAAGAAAGTGCTCAGCATCAACGGTGGCCATGGCCGGGCCTGCCTAAGATATCATTATTAAATGTGTTAATCCCAGAGAGAAAACAAACAAGGTGTTTTGTTTTCCCACTAATGGCACATCATGAGGTCCTGTCAACAACTGAATATAAAACAGTGTTCCCACCAGCTCCTAATGAGGCTGAAAATCTCCTGTTGCTACTGATGTTGGGGCTGTTGTGCAGTGTTAGCAAGACACATGATTGATATCTGTGGAGATGGATGCCCTTATGAACATACTGTGCTGTTAGTCCTACAAAAGCCTAGTAGTCAGGCACAGCATGTAACTTGAGATGGTAGAACTAAGTATGTTGCTGGGTTGGGTAGTTAATATGCTATCAGTTGATAGTGTTTTCCTTGCACTTATGAAAAAACAAGCCGGGTGTGGTGGCACATGCCTGGGATCCCAGCACTGTGGGAGGGAGAGCCAGGCAGATCTCTGTGAGTTCAAGGCCAGCCTGGTCTACATCCAAGGCTACAAAGAGAAACCCTGTCTCAAAAACAAAGCAAAGCAAAACAAAACAAAACAAAAAACAACAAAAGAAAAGAAAATACAGTTTATCATAAAACAACACAGGTATTGTACTGGCCTCAGGTGTTTCTTGTTTGCCAGTTTCCTGAAGAGGCCATGTTGACTGACCTACAGCACTTGGCTTCTGGAAACAGCCTCTGATGCTTGTGTAGCACCAATGTCTCTGGAAACATTTCTTAGAGTGTGGGCCTGTTGTTAAATAGTGTGTGACTGCATTTTTTCAGACTTTATTTTTCTTCTTTTAAAAAAATAGTAATTTATTACATTGTTATATATTTTGTATGCATGTGTCGGGGTACCATGGTGCACAGGTGGAGGTCAGAGCATAACTTGAGGGCTCTGGTTCTCTCTCTCCATCATGTGAATAAGATATTGAACTCAGGTTCATCAGGCTAAGCCATATTACCACTCCTTCTTCTTTAAATTTTTTTTTTTCATTTGTGAAGATGTTCTCTGTATTTACCTACTTCTGATGTCTATCCTGTTTGCCCTTCTGAATGAGGATTAAGCCTCTTCCCTAGGATCCTTCTTGTTGTTTAGCTTCTTTAGGACTTTAGATTTTAGTATGTTTATCCTATATTATATGGCTAATATCCACTTATAAGTGAATATATACTATGTGTGTCTTTCTGCTTCTGGGTTACCTCATTCAGGATGATCTTTTCTGATTCGAACCATTTGCCTGCAAATTTCATGATTTCCTTGTTTTTAATTGCTGAGAAGACAGAACAGGACAGGAGCCTACCACAGAAGGCCTCTGAAACACTCTACCCATCAGGGTTTCAAAGCAGATGCTAAGACTCATAGCTAAACTTTGGGCAGAGTGCAGGGAATCTTATGGAAGAAGGGGAAGATAGAAAGACCTGGAGGGGACAGGAGCTCCACAAGGAGACCAACAGAGCCAAAAAATCTGGGCACAGGGGGTCTTGCAGAGAATGATGAATCAGCCAAGAACCATGCATGGAGAGGACCTAGACCCCTAGCTCAGATGTAGCCCATGGGCAGCTCAGTCTCCCTGTGGATTCCCTAGTAAGGGGAATAGGGACAGTCATTTCATTAACTCGGTTGCCTGTTCTTTGATCACCTTCCCCTGGTGAGGTAGCATTACTTGGCCACAGAGAAAGAGGATCCAGGCAGTCCTGATGAAACCAGATAGCCTAGGGTCAGATAGTAGAGGAGGCGGACCTCCCCTATCAGTGGACTAGGGGAGGGACATAGTGAGGGAAGAGGGAGGGAGGGTGGGGAACATAGTGGGGGAAGAGGGAGGGAGGGTGGGACCAGGAGGAGGTGAGGGAGGGGGCTACAGCCAGGATACAAAGTGAATGAATTGTAATAAATAATAATAACAAGGAATTAAAAAAAATATTGTGAAGCTGTAAGTCATGTGGCTCCTGGTGAAAATGATGTAACAAGATACAATAAAAAAAGTCTTATTTCTACACACAAATTCTCCAAGCTTTTAGGAACTGTGGCTTATCCATTACTGGTTTATTTTCCATCAGTTTCTTGTTGTTAGTATAAAGAAATACATTTACTTGTATCCTTCCATTTTTATTACCCCAGAGGTTACACAGTAGATACTGCAATGTTCTTTCCCCTGCTTATCCTAGAGGCTTCAACACTACAGTTTAGAGTTCCCTATTCCCTTTTTATACTGTACTGTATTGTTTTGAAAGATGTACCATAACTCATTTTACTGGTCCTCCATCAGACACACATTTGGATTGTTTTCCCATTTTTTTTGCAATCACTAATCATGCTCCTATGGACAATCTTGCACACAGTCATTTTGTTGTTTTTTTGCTGGTAGTTTTCCAAATGCTGGGCCAAAAGGTAAACAAATACATATGTAATTTTTCTTATGTTCCCAAATTTCCCTTCATAGGCATCGCACTGTTCTGCGTTTCCATCAGCAATGCTTGAGAGCACCAGCTTCCCCAAAGGCCATCAGCACAGCATATATTCAGACTTGGATTTTTGCCATTCTGATAGATGAGAAATTTCTCAGTCCAAATCTAATGTGCATTTTTTTCCTTTTTCCTTTTTGATTTTTGAGACAGGGTTTCTCTGTGTCATACTTGCTGTCCTGGAACTCTGTAGACAAGGCTGGCCTCAAACTCACAGAGATCCACCTACCTCTGCACCGAAGTGTCGGTATTAAAGGTGTACAGTACTACACCTGGTCTTAATGTGCATTTCCTTTTTTAAAATTTATTTTTATTTTACGTGCATTGGCATTTTGCCTGAATGTACGTCTGTGTGAGGGTGTCAGATATTGGAGTGACAGACAGTTGTGAGCTGCCATGTGGGTGCTGGGAACTGAACCCCGGTCCTCTAGAAGAGCAGCCGGTGCTCTTAACCACTGAGCCATATCTCCAGGCCCTAATGTGCATTTCTTTAAGAAAAATATATAATTCTTTTTCTGTGCATAAAAATCATTTTAATTTCTGAATTATACACATGCACAGGGAGAGCTAATATACACAGACAGCTAACACACACATTAACTGTATGACAAATTTTTATCTATGGACTTTTTTCTTTTTGATTCTTTTAAAAACATTTATTTACTTATGTATATGAGTACTCTGTTTGCATGTTTGCCTGCATGACAAGAGGGAATCAGATCCCATTATAGATGGTTGAGAGTCACCATGTGGGTGCTGGGAATTGAACTCAGGACCTCTGGAAGAGCAGCCAGGGCTCTTACCCTCTGAGTCATCTCTCCAGTCCCCTCCTTTTTAATTCTTAAGAGATCTCGAAATGACAGATATATTTGTTTATGTTTAAGAATATAAGTTGCAAGTTCTTCCCACCCTACGTGCATTTATCTTCTGGTTGCTTGGAGGTTTCTGAAGGCCATATACTATTTTTTTTTTTTTTTTTTTTTTCAGTTTGGTAATAGAACACCAGTGTTCTATTCCGTGTGTTACAATGTCTCTTCATAGTTTCCAGCTTGGTGGTGTTCTTTTTGATGAGCAGTTCCTAATTAAATATGTTTAAACCAATGAACAGTTCCCCCCTTTAGGGCCAACTAGAAAAAAAGTCCTATGTTTTGAGGCTACAGACATATTGCACTGTTTTTTTTCTTAACCTTCTGAGAATTGCTTCTTGTCACTCATGGACCTGTGTGTTTGAACACTGATATTCACCAGTCCTTGGGGATTTAGTACAGCGTGTAGTATTTCTGTGGCATGCAGGCTGGGAACAATGTTTTGGGTGCTGCCAAGGTCCTGTGGAAAGTCACAATGATGGTGCTGCATCACTGTCAAGTGCAGAGGGGTGATTTCTGGATTCATGAAAAAAAAATATATTTTTTAAAAATGCCAACTCCTTGCCACAGATAGGATGAGGCCAGTTTAGTAAACTTCACTGCCATGTTCATCACAATTTTCACAGCTTTATTCCCTGAAATTTATTTTATTTTTGGTGAAGAGTGTAGTGTAGAAAAACTTACTTTCCTAGAATTTTTATTAACTTCTAGGTGTTTATTGATGTGTGTGTGGTGTAGGTATTTGTCCTTGTGGGTGTGCGCACATGTGTGTGAGGGTGTGTGTGGAGGCCAGAGATTGGTGTCAGATGTCTTCCTCAATCTCCCTCCACCTCTTTTTTGAGACAGAGCCTTTCACTGAATCTGTAGGTCATCAGTTTTGCCAGATTGGCTGGCCAGTGAGCTCTAGCAGTCTGCCTGTCTCCTTTCCCAGTTCTGGGACCACATATGTGCATGTTATATCTGGCTTTTCTTTTGGTCCTGGGGATCCAAGTGCTCTTTCCTGACAGAAGTTGGGCATCTTCTCTCAACTTCCAGTTGAGGGGGGAACAGTCTTCTTCATTGCTCATCAGTGCCCTGTTTATCACAAAGCAAGTGACCCTAAGTACAGGGCCGTTCCTGCTCTTGTTTTCTGTCATATTGGCACTGTCACAATTTGGTTGCTTAAAAATAAGTCTTGGTATTTGGAAGGGAACTTCTTTAACACTGTTCCTTTTCAGCAGTATCTTATTTGTTTGTTGGTCCCTACATTCTCTTAGAAAACTTAGAATGATTTCATGCACATGCATGCATGCAATGCAAGGTGAGCACACACATAATCTATTCACACTTTTACGAGGATTGCATTGAAACTATAGGAATGTCTAATCCTTCTATTTGGAACTAGTGTGTGCCCAAATCAAATGCATCTCTTGTTGCACTTATTCCTAACTATTGAGGTACTCAGGCTTATAATTTTTATAGATTTGACTTAATTTCTAAGTTTTATATATATTTATAAGCATAGCATATGTTTTACCACAGTAAAAATTTGAGAAATAATCTACCAGGGTTCAAAAGTACTAAATGGAGGCCACACCAGCCAGAAGAACAGGTAGAGAAACTCAATGATGGACCAGAAATTACACTGGCTGCCAGAACTCCAGATAGGTGGACCGCCTCTACTCTCTCAGTTACCCCAGTTCCCAGTCCTCCCTCCTCTCCTCATTACTGTGTCCCATGCCCCCAACTCAGGCAGAGATCCTGCTGGACCAAAGGCCACGATAGATACCAGAAGTCCAGTCCTCAACTTGACCAGACTTCTGTGAGTTCAAGGCCAGCCTGGTCCACAAAGCGAGTTCAGGATAGCCACCGAAATTTCTTTCTTGAAATTTTGTTTCTTGAAAAACAAAACAAAACAAAAAGCAAAAAATCAAGTTTTGTGTGTTGAACTTGTATTAGGCCCCCATTTCCAATTTTATATTTAGCCTCTTATATTTTCAGAGGAAATGACCAACTAACTTAGGACTGTGACTTCTATTTGTCCTCCTCTGTCTACACTAGCCTAGAACCACTTTGTAGACTGGGCTGGCCTTGACCTATTGTCCTCTGGAAGGAATATTAGCTGACTACTAGTTTTTCTTAGCCTGGGTTCCCTAGCTTGATTTCTTACCGAGGAACAACATTCCAAGCCTGCCTCCTTATTTTTCAACCCAAGAGATAAACTTGAGGTGTTGCTGGGTGGTAGAGTATA